CACACACACACACACACACACACACACACACACACACACACATACACACTGTGTGTAAGGAACAAACATTTAAACCTAAAACTCTGTTAGAAACAAGTGAATGTGAGATCATCKGAGGTCAAATCTATATCTCCTGTCTCTTATTACTCAATGTCTAAGTGTTGCGCAAGAATATAAACTTTAGTGGAAATGTACTGAACTTTACCACACAGCTGAGCTAAACTTTTCACTTCATTCGACCATTTAAAAACAAAAACAAGAAATCCAAGATTCTGACTAAAGATAAAAAAGGTGAAAATACAGAGAATCCAGGTAAATGAGTCACTTTCCCCAAATTAAAAATTAACATACTGCACTTCTTTTAAAAATAGAGTTTAAAAGTGGACAAGTAATCTTGAAGATTTTAAACCTGTTTTTTTTACAAACAATATTATAAAACATTATATAAAAGGTTCAACGAACCACCTTCCATCATGCTACCTTGACCAAGAAGTCACAGTCCTCCACTTGGAAAGCGATGTCTTTCACCCCGTCTCCGTGCTTCATCAAGTGTCCCCCCATCTCTGGAAAAAGTTCAGAGTTTGGTCATGTTCACAGCCTCTCGTCTTTGATTGGATCTCGAGTTCCCAGAGGAGCAAACTTGCCTTCATTTCCAGGATTTAGCGGAGATTGAAACACAAAGATGATCTGTAAGAGAGGAGGGGTACAGCTGTGAACTCAAACACTGAATCCATCCCTTCCTTGAGCTAGAAGCTTTGTACCTTATCCTGGCTGATGGCGTGAGACACCACCTCCCTGCTGCCCGTCTCCAAACCCTTGTAGGCCAGAGGCTGGAAGCCCATCTTATCACAATAGTATGAAGCTGCCTGGAAAGATTTAAAGCTCTTAAACCAGAGGAACGGTCTAAACTAAACATCTTGTTTGTGACCGTTTAAACACTGACCTGCTTGGCATTGCCAACCCAGAAGGTAATATGATGAAACTTCACAAATTTTCCTCTCAGAGGCTAAAATTACAGCAAGAGAGTTCATTTAGATGAAAACATTTAAAGAGTTCTGCAGGAGGCAGCTAACAGCTCATTTTTTAAACACTAAAAAGCATCACAAATACAGGCCCCTGGTCCGAAAGACAGAAAAATCACCTCACCTTCTCCCCTTTATCTGTGTAGCTTGTCTAAAGAGAGAGAACAGACATGATTTCTTTATGTTTCAAGCAAGATCTCATGTTTTAATGTGAATGGAAAGGGTCTATTTCACTGCCAGTCTCTCTGCGAGACCACCAACTCATCAGCAGTGCTGCAGATGATCCTGAAGTCTCTTACCATGCTGTGATCGATGATGGGTCTCAGCTCAGATGGGAGTAAAATCCAAAAGATCAGTGCCTGGCCTGACAGTTCAGATAAGTACTGACCTGAAGACCGGCTGTGATTGGTCCTGGAGGATTTACACCCACCTGTCCGCCTCCTCGCTTCTTGATGCACCTCAGGTTCAGCTGCTGCGGGCCCGGGGGTCTTTGTCTCTTTTTCTGGGATCTTTGTCAAAATTCAGCTTCAGAGAGACGTGAACACCTCAACAGCAGTAAGAGAACATGTCAAAGCACAAATATTCCACAGTGAGATKTCTCTGAAATGCAGAGAAACACATGTAAGCTGTTAGAAACATGTCAAAGATAAAATATATATATATAATGCAACCATGTTGAAAGTCAACCAGGTTAAAGAAGATATGTTAGGACTGGAATAAAAAATGCAATATGAGTCAGGATAAAAAAAAGCTTCCTCTACTTCTGGAAAAGCTCCAAAAGCTTTGTGCTGTTGTTTAATTTTTTTACCACCAGAGGGCGCAGCCGGACACTAATAATAAATGTTTAAACAGGCTGATCATGAACCAGAACCTTCTACTGGCATGTGATCTCATTTCAGCTCACTACTGTGGCTCAGCTGTACTCCAGCATTGTTATTCGTTGAAGTTCATCATACCCACACGTTTTTTTAATTATTTATTTGAATTCATGCTGTGAAAATAATTAAATTATTGCTATTGCAATACTTTTCACATTGAAAAATTATTATATGGCATTCAAAAAATCTTGCATGTAAATAAAAAATAAAGAACACAACATAATTTATAACTTCGAATGGTAAGACTGTGTCATCAGAAAGATTTTGTTGTTGTTGATTTTGCATTGATTTAAATTTAGTTTATTTGTGTTTATTATATTATTATATTTCTGGGATTAATTTAACGTTTTACAAAACACGTATTCTCACTTTTAGATGTGTAATAGTATGACAATGATTAAAAAAATTAATTGTATATTTGGTGATTTGTTCGTGTGTTGTACTGAATGTCTCAGCTGTCCTCGCGCTGCTGAGCATGTGAGTGACTGCACGTACCGCGCTGTTTGTGCCGCGCTGTGATTTTCTATTGGTGCGCCGCGCGAGCTGCCTGGCGTCTGATTGGCTCCGCTGTGGGCGTGTGCCATCCAATGGCTTGACTGGCGTGCAATCCCATTGGCCAACACGAGCGTCCGCCACTCCATTGGTCCAAACTGCTTCAGTTCCTCGTTTGCTATTGGCTGGCGTTTTCGTCACCGCACAAGAATGCGGAAGTCGTGCAGTCTACTGAGTCACCGTTGTGTCAGCTGATGCTCTGAGTGAGTAACTCGGTTTATTTGTTCTAAATTGAGTAACTTCTGAAGAATTTACTTTGTGTGACATGTTCTCTGGTTGACGGACTCGGACTGTACTTGTGAACCTTTAGTTTTTTGGTCGTTTTTTTGTGCGCAAATGAACAATTCTGACCCAGTAGCCTCAGAGAGTGTTGCTATCATGCTAGCATGCTAACACCTTTTGCAGACATGCCCCTCACACACCCACTCGATTTGTCAAGTTTTTATTTCGGAGTTCACTGTCAGCAGTAAGGCTTCTGTCATTCACTTTCACTTTCCGCATGAATGTGTCTGCAAACTTTATCCATCTGCTCCATTAGTTTACACCTTAGTTTACACCTGTTGTTTTCACACGTTGTTCTTTTGGGAATTTCTAGTCCTGTTTGGGTCTGGGGGGGAAATCACCCATCATCTGCCATTGCTGTAGAAATCTGAAGAGGAAGAGAAACTGGTTTTGCATTAGAAGAGATTATTTCGATGCCACTATAATTAGAAATGATTGCATGGTTTGAACATCTGCTGCAGATGTTCAGTCAGGTTTCATTTAAATGACTGAGAAGAAAAAAATTGTATAGGTCTTCTGGACGGGTTCTTCTCTAATGAAACGTTTCGTCTCTCCTCCAAGAGAC